TAATAATATAAATAATATAATAAAATTTAAAAAAATATATAATAAATATATAATAAAAATTGTTAATAAAATTCGACTAATAAAAATTACCTAATACTATAATAAAATATAATATAATCTAAATAAATTTAACTAATAAATTTGCTAATATAACAATAGCATTATATAAACTTAACCTTTTTCCAAGTCAGAAGGACATCAATATATACTCTACAATTTATTTTTTGAATATTTATATTGTTTCTGTATATATTTGACCCTTATCTTTGATTATTTTTTTATTAAAAAGCTTCTTTATTTTGTATTTTCTTAGTAATAAACTGTTATTATCTTATGTTTTTATAGTATTTTTATAGTGTTTTTATTGCATTTTCTTGTGAATTTATTGATTTTTTTTTATTTATACTTAAGTAAACTTGTTATTTTTGACTTCTTATTTAGTTATTTTATAGTATTTTTGTCTTAGTTTAGACTTTTCTTTAGTTTAAAACATTCTTTAACTACTCTTATACATTAAGTCAAATAATATATTTGTTTGACTGAACTGGTGATGGCTCATTTTATCATTATAATATTTAATATTTAGTTAAGCTAAGCAAGTATATTACAGTTTTAGTGATGACGATAGGACTCAAACTGCATTCTTTTGTAATTTTTAACTCTTACTTTTTAAAATTTCTCTTAATTTCTTCTTAAAATTTTCTTTTCTCACTATTTATCATCTATAAAGAATAACATTTTTCTTATTTTTTTTATTTTTTTTTGGTTTATTTTAAATTTTTATTAGTTTATATATTCTCTTTTTTGTGAAAAAATATATTTTATATATTATTTTAAAATTCAAAACTACATATAGTCATTGACAATCTGAGTATTAGTACTATTTTCTCTGATAATATTTTAGAATACCTTTAAGATCTCAACTTATCATCAACTCTTTCTGATGATCACTTGGTTAACAACAAATTAGCTAAATTACAGTAAACAATATAGAAAGGAGACTAAGTAGATACAACAATATCCTTGGTTTGGTATAAGCAAACTTATTGTCAACAAAGTTTATAATACATAAAATACTGAGAAGCAGGTATATAAGAATATTAGATAGGTTTGTATTATGGGTTAAGTTTTTTCTTTTAACAGACTCACTAGCACATTTGGCATCCAAACCAGAAAGTTTATTCTAAGAACAAGTAAAGTAAGAGTTTTTGAGTAAAAATATTAAATAGATATTAAAAAACTGAACTATATAACAGTAAAATTTACAAGAAAAACTTCATATATTCTCATTGACCTTCCACTTTTTTTTAAAGAAAATTTTGTAAAAAAATGTATGATTTAGTTTACTCCCTTCAAAAGATCAATATATTGTTTATTTACCAAATTGGTCGACATTGTTTACTTTTTACCTGTCACAACTAATATATAGATGTATATGGAATAAGGACATGTAGATTACATACTTTGGAATTGACAACTCAAACAAATGATGTTTTGAAACCAATAATGTAAATCTATACCTCTCAATGGTGCTGATATCAAAGAAGCTGATTTTTTTATCTTTTGAAGATTTTTTGCTTAAATATACTAATTATATAAAGTAAAATAGAGACTAGTTTAGATAGTAATATATAATTTTTATAAAGCCTAACATAGGCTTATAATTGTGACCATCTAGTATAGATGAAAAATCTCAAATTTTTTTTTTATTTCTCTCCTTACTTCTTTCTTTTCTTGTTTGTATCTTTTATCTTACTCTTCTATACTTTTATATTATTTTTATAAAATATTTTTTTCTTTTTCTTTCACTTCTCTATGAGAAGATGTTACCAGATTGGTAATATCTTATTGTAAAGTAGTAGTTGGACAAGCTTCCAATAGGTATTATCTTAATTGATCATATCTCACTGATGTAGCAGATTACCTATAAGCGCTCTAGTAGCTATTGGTTAATTATAAATAGCTATAGAATATCAGAATCAAAGCTTTATTGTTGAATATTCTTTATAGAATAATGGCTTAAATAAACAGAATTCATTAGTGCGACTGCCTAAGGTGAAAAAAAATCTTTAAGTTTTAGTGGCTAATACTCCTTATAAAGAGCAAATATTTTTGTATTATACTTGACTATATACAAAAAACAATAGATGTCACCTTATATATTGACCTATTGTGAAATTCTTATAGTACTTTAGAAGGTTATTGAATTGAATTCTATTAAAATCTGAGGGCTTTTTAATAGAAAAATGAAAGATTTCTTCTAAATAAAAGTTTTTTAAACTTTCAATTAAAATATTTTAACAATTATTAATCTAAATTTAATAAATTTTTTTTATTTTAATTCTATAAAATAATAAAATTAAAAAAATAAATTTTTATTAGATTTAATTTAGTAGTTATTAAGATATTTTAATTTAAAATTTAAAAAAAATTACTAAAAACTTTTTCACCCTTTTCTATTGAAAAGCACCATCTATTCTTTATTTTTTTAGTATTTTTTTAAAATCTGTCTATAACTTCAATCCTGTTCAGATTGTTTCTAGACCTCTTATAACTTGAAAAATGACATAATAATTTAATTTTTAATTTTATTTTCAAAAATTTTATATATAACAAGTAGGGTTTCTCAAAGTCAAATCAAATCAAATTGAATATTAATCAAATTAAATAAATTCTTAATTTAAACAAATCAAATTAAATCAAATCAAATAATATTTAAATATTTATTAAAAATTTTAAAATTTTGTCACTTTTCAAAAATCCAAATTTACTTAAAATTTTACTAAGCTAATTGATTTTGTATATTAAGTAAAAAATATTCTTTTAATCAAAATATCTCTAGTTAATTAAAATAAAAATTAATAAAATTTTGTATAAATAGCTATTAAATCTATAGTTTCAATTTAAATCAATTCAAACATTCAAATATTTGTTAAATCAAATCGAATATATTATCAATTTGAATTTGATCGAATCAAATAAATCTATAATTTGAATTTAATTTGATTTAAATATTTGATCGAATCAAATCGAATCAAATTGAATCAAATCGAATTGTAGAACCCTAATAACAAACATATAGAAATTTTTATCAACTTTTAAAAAAAAAATCACCCAGATAATAAATATAATCAAAAATTTTTTCAAAAAATTTGCAAATTTGACTTGGCTGAGTCATGAGAGCCAATTTATCAAATTTGCATAGAATATAAGCAAGAATTTTAAATTTTATTATTATATAGTAAAATTTAAACTTTTGATTTGCTACTTAAAAAATAATTATTTTACTAAATTATATATTATATCTAGTAAAAATAAAAAATTAAAAATTAAAATACTTTATAACATAATACAATATGTATATAGTAAAATTTAATGAAATTAAACTCAAAAAATAGATTTATAAACAAAAATTTAAAATATGAACATTTTTCTTTATTTTTGTTATACAAAGATAATTTACATTTTATTTAATTCTTAAATTGTATAATTTTACCTGTAGTATAAATTAGAAATTTTCTAGAAGATGTCAAGTTTTATAATATTTAAACCAATAGTACAATAACTATATTGCTTTTAAATCCGTTTTTGAAATATGAAAGTTAGCAAAAAAAAAAGTAGTTTATTTCAAAGGCAAGCGTTTATTCAAATGTTATTATAACCAGAGCCATACGTATTGTTATTTTTTATAAAATTATAGATGTGAAAATATCAAAAAAAGAATGTAAAAATATCAGTTCTCTAAGATTTATGCAATAAAAACAAACTCAGTAAATCCATTACAAAAAAAAAAAGAGCGCAAAGACTGGCAAACGTTCATGCAGCATTTAAAATTTACTAAAAGGCCATACTGAACATATATTTACAATCCTTACAGATTCTACAGCGTTTTACCTCTTTGCAAACGTTACTTTCATTTCCTTCTCATGAGTAATTTTAAAGCCATTTAAAACTTCTTTGGCCACAGCAGCTTGATGATCAGCCTCATATTCCACAAATGCGATATCCGATTTTCCAGGGACAAGACGAACTTCTTTGAATCCAGGATACCTGATGATGATTTGATTGTTACAATCTAATAGAATGAATTTTGTAATATTTCAAAATAAACAATTTCATCTAATACATACTGTTCAAACAGGTAGCTCAACATTTCGTCAGTAACATCCGGTGGCAAATTTTGTATATATAATATTCGATTTTGAGGTTCTAATTCACCCTTTGGTGCAGTAGGCACCATTGGCACTTCACCTTCATCCATTTCTTGCCAATCAAAAAAATTTGACATTAATAAAATTAATCGTATAAATACATTAAACACATATATGACGATAATATTTATTATTATTGTTATTGTTATTTTACCAGCTTCAGGTGATTCTAATTCTCTTCCTTTTTCACCGTTCGCAGGTCTCTTGTGATCCACTAAACCTATAGTTTTTTTTTTTTTTACTTAAATCAAACAAGTAGATAAAAAACAAAAATAACAACATTCCTAACCTTCTTCCTCCCTTTGTCTTTTCACTGCAGGGGCAGATGTGACTTGTTGTCCTAATGTTGATGCACGTTGAGCACTTGCATTTATAGTACCAGGTCGTTTCCATGTCCCATCCAATTTTGCAACGGCATCTGATTTTCCTTTTGCGTATTCTATTTGCTATTATAAGTTTGGCGCGTATAAAATAAAAAATCGAAAGGTCAGCTGCATTCGATAGTTGAATTCGACTGGATTACTTTATAATAAAATCCACCATAATATATTTGTTGGATCGACCTTTGAGATTAAAGATAATTAATGGTATTATCAGATTATTCAGGTAAAATAAATTTGGTTTGTGCAATGTCTTTTATAAAGTGAATCATACATAATAGAAAATAAAAAGAATTGAAAGAAAAAAAAAAAGAAGGGAAATCTCACCATAGGCACGTCGTAAAAATTAAAGCCATTAAGTCCTCTCATGGCAGCTGTAGCACTTTGAATTTCCTTGAAAACAATAAAAGCTTGGCCACGCATTTTTATAGTTTTCAATGCAACGATATCCAATATACGTCCATAGGCTGAAAAAAGAGCATACAAAGATCTCTTCAATTCTAATAGTAAAGAAAATCGTGTTAGATGCTATATTTAGTTATACAAACTATAGAATAGTAGTAAATACCATCTTTGTTGATTTTTTCATTCAAATTGCGGACGTAAAGTGTTTGATTCGGCAGAATGCTTGACATAGTAGTCTTCGGGCAAAGTTGATTCAAGGTTAAGATTTAATTACTGCGGATTCTGCTTATCTAAATTATTGAACCCCACCAGGAGTCTAGACCAGGAACATCAAAATTCAGCAAACGACCTGCAGATCGCCGCCGACCCATCACTGTTATTGGATTTGTTATCGATAAATCATCGCTAAAAGAGAAAAAAAACCAAAATCGTGTAAAGTTTTATTTTTTAAACAAAGATTTCTCGACAACCAACTATCCAAATTTGATGATTTTTTTTTTATTTTATATATAAAAAAGTATGTTTATTTTCGAAGAAATACAGTAACTATTGTTGAATAATATCTTAAAGATCTTAATCACATTTTTTTAGGAGTTATATAAGTTGATGATATAAGAGATACAATATTTTGAGGTGTTTGGAATCTGTCATTTTCGTAATAGTTATTAAGAAAATATTCAAAATCTACTTTTAATTCATTAATTAAATTAAGTGTGTTTGCTTAATTACAGATTTTACAAATAAAACCTTCATTATAATAAATGCAAGTAGTTGATCTTTGTTTAAACAACCAAAAACTTTATAAAATTTTTGATGATAAATGTAAATAATATATCTCATTAGAAGATCTATAATAATTATTTGCATCATATTTTGCTTTTTAGAAAATTTTGGCTATTTGTAACTTATTTAAGAGGTGATTCACCGTTAAAGGGTATAAGCATCATATAAGCATCATAGTAAAAATCGGCGGGCATTACATATAG